TTAATCCTCTTGGGAATCAACTCAAGAACCATGGATCTCAAGCCACAAGAATCAAAAAAATCAATCAAAAATCTCCTTTGATAAGGTATGTTGATTTCAATTCTCTTTGTGGAGTGATAATTACTTTATATCCTTGCTCCTTATAGGAATCGAGTGAACCTTCTCTTGTGCCTTTATTGGTGATCCTAATACTCTTGATTGAAACTCTATTTGAACCCTTGAAATTGAGGTTCTTCTTAGGTAATTACAATCTTAATATTTTTTAAAATTAGTGGGATTAGCCTACTCACAATCAACCTTAATTTGGTCAAGGTCAATCCTAAATCCCAACTTCCTTTTCTATAATGGATCTCTCTCTCTCTCTTTCTCCTCTTTGATTCCACATCATTAACTCTCAACACCACATGCCTAAGTCAATACATAATTCTCCTTCGAGAAAAAACCCTCCATGGACAATTACCAATTCTCAACATCTTGTGTCTTATCTTAACCCTCTCTCTGCTCACCATTTAAGTTACTTATGGCTTGATGGAGAGAGACAATCTTCAGCTCAATTAGTTGACTCGTAGATCACTACAGATGAGTGAGTATGATGATACTTTGATTCTCTCTTTGAGAAGTGTGGTTGTTTTTTTGTAGAGGATTGAGTAGCATTTTCTTCTCAAACTTAAGTGAATGATGTTGATAAAATATCTTTGTTCAACATTAACCTTGGTTCATCTTCAGCTCATCCTCTTTATTATCCAACGTAATTCTATCATTATAACATCTAATAATGGTCATATGAATTTAAAAATCTTCTTGTTGCTTTATTCTTGAGTTTCCTGTCTCATATATTTTTTGAAGATTCGTAATTGATCACGGAATATTTCTCTTTTAGGATTTTACTCATATATGATTGTTTCATTTATCTTCAGTTCACATATTCTGCTAATGATTTATCATCTAGAATCTATGCTTTTGACTGCTGATCATGCTTAAGCTCAAATCCTTCCGCTCTTGTAGGTTGTCCTTGATAATGTGTCTTGAGATTCTCAATTGATCAGTTGACATCTTTGTCTTTAGGGTCAATGTTCAGATTGTTGTTTTGTCCATGAATTTTGGTGACATGTTACCGTCTAGGTGTGTGAGACTGACCTTGAGTTCTTCCTTGTTTCAAAATATGTAGATTTTTCATAGATAATCTTCTAAGCTTCATTTTGGAGATTCATGATACTTCAAGAAATATTTTTACTTTTGAGTGTGAGTTGAGGTATGTCGTTTTCTCCACATAAGACTATGACATGTCACCATGCAAGTTGTGTGATGAAGACTTCCCTATTTTTTTGATAACTTCATATAAATTATTTAACTTAGCCACCATGTAGGACTGGAGATTGATTCTTACTTCAGTCACTAATCATGTGATTTTACTCTTAAATATTTGATCAACTTTCCAAGGTGTCACTATTGTGATTTCAATTTCAAATTCTGCCCATGCTTTGGTTTGTATGATGTTCAAATATTTTAGTCATCATTTTTCCTATATTTGCATAGCTTGCTTCCTAGGTTCAAATCTCACATCTAATAGTGTGTTTCTTTGATTTTTCAGATATTTTCCACACTAACATTTCTATCTTCACATTACTTAGGTACCGCATTTGAATCTTGCATGTGACTTTATTTTTTTAAGAATACACATGAGACTTCATCACACGTGTTGACACATTGTTTAGCACTTATATTTTGAAAAGATTAAATTACAGTAATTATATATAAAAAGATATATCAAGGGTGTAACTTCTTAGATTTATTGTTAGCCACAAGATAATGTCAAGCGTCATCAATATATATATATATATATTGAATATTTATCAAGGATATTATATTTGTGATATAAATTATCATACTATATACAAATAGTTCAATTGATATTAAATAAATTATTCAAAAATAATTTATAAATAATTTTTTTAATATAAGTATCAAAACCAAGGGTATTTACAATTTAGCTCTCCACATTTTTTAATGGATAGGTTTTTCCTAGACTACTTAGAGCATTTATGATATTTTAAAATTTATCATACATCTCAGAAATTTCCTCTACATTCATCGTGAACATCTCAAATTGTCTAACTAACTGAAAGCTCTTTTATTTCTTTAGTTGGGTGTTTCCTTCATGAGTAGCCTATAATTTTTTTGCATTTTTCATGGTTAATTTTTTATCTACTTGTAATGGTCCATCAGTGATGATTTTCCAAAGTTGATAGTCCATGCCTTGAATAAAAATCTCAATTTTATTTTTCCAAAAGATATAATTCAATCAATTAAATAGGGGTGGTCTATGAACAAGAACTTGTAGAAACAAAGAGGTTGTGTTTTGAAACATAATTTTGCATGAAAATTCCCATGAATTATAATATTATTTTTACTATCTACAGTAAGGATTTATTGATGTAGAAGTTGTAGAAATAAAGTTGTATTTTGAAATTTAATTTTACATCAAAGTCCCAATGAATTGTAACATTATCCATTCGGTCTTTATTATACATCAGTTCATGTGTAAATTGTGGAAACAAACAAGTGACGTTTTGTTATATAATTTTATATAAAATTCCTCATGAATTGTAACAAAAATTATTTGTACCATCTTCATTAAGCATCTATGATATGAAAATTGTAGGAAAAGTGAGGTAGTGTTTTGAAATCTAATTTTGCATAACAATTGCTATGAATTAATAATATTTATACTACCTCATTGAGCATTTATTGATTTAGAAGTTGAAAAAGAGAAGTCGTGTTTTGGAATAATTTTTTGTGTGAAAGTCCTCATAAATTATAATATTTTTTGTGCCACTTCATTAAGCATTTATTGATATGGAAGTTGTAGAAATAGAGAGGTTATATCTTTAAATGTAATTTTGTGTAAAATGTCCCATGAATTCTAACATTATTTTTACCACCTTCATTAATCTTCTGTTGATGTGAGAGTTGTAAAAATTGAGAGGTGGTGTTTTGAAATATAATTTTACATTAAAGTCCCACGAATTGTAACAAATTATGTACCATCTTCAGTAAGCATCTATTTATGTGAAAGTTGTAGAAAAATAGAGGTGGTGCTTTTAAATGTAATTTTACATAAAACCCTCAATTAATTATAACATTGTTTTTCTCGTCTTCATTAAACATCTATTGATGTAGAAGTTGTACGAACAAAGAGGTAATAACTTAAAATATAATTTTGCATATTTATGTAGACATTGTAAAATAGAGAGGTGGTGCTTTAAAATGTAATTTTGTATTAAAACTCTTTATCAATTATAACATTGTATATACTGTCTTCATTAAGGATCTATTGATGTGGAAGTTGTAAAAATAGAGATGGCGCTTTGAAATATAATTTTACATAAAAATTCCCATAAATTATAGTATTGTCTCAACTGTCTTCATTAAGCATCTATTGATGTGAAAGTTATACAAACAAATATAGTGTTTTCAAATATAATTTTGCATAAAAGTTTGCATAAATGGTAACATTATCTATACCATCTTCAATAATCATCTATTGATGTGGAAGTTGTAGAATTAGAGACATGGTGCTTTGAAATTTAGTTTTGTATAAAAGTTCACATGAATTGTAATGTTATATATACCGCCTTCATTAATCATTTATTGATTTGAAAGTTGTGGAAATAAAGATGTGGTGTTTTGAAAAATAATTTTACATAAAAGTCCCCATGAATTGTAACATGATATGATGCAAACAAGAGAGGAGCAAGAGATAATCATCTTATTGGTGACGATCAAGTGCAGAACATCTCTTCTTCTCTCCTTCTCTATTATTTCTTTTCTTTCTTTTTTACTTGGGTTTATATTTATTTAGAGAACATAAGAAATTATCTTCAGGATTAGTTATCTTCCTTATGGAATTGACTTGAACTCACTGTAAGTACTTGATTTAGTTTAATGTCAATTCAGTTATGTAAATATTAAGACTAAGAAATGATTCTGGTGCATCACTTATTAGAACTTTTTAACTTTTATATCAATCTTGCCATATTTTTTATATAGACTTCAATATTTTTAAACACCTGCATACTAGAGAGGGTAACACAAATGCAATCAGCTTCCATTTTATCACTTTGGTTTCACTTGTCAATATAGTCGTACCTTGGCTTGTTTTGTCATTTTCCTTGAACATATGGAGATGGGGAGGAAGGAAAGGAGTTATACACTGATTCTATGTCTTCCTCCCTCCCTCACTCACTACTTTCCTCCTTTATTTTTTAAATTTAAACAATAAAGAGATCCAGGTCAAATGAAACAAAGTTAAATCAGGATGTGTCACAAAGAAGTACTAAAAGCACGAAGTCAGATAAAATGTAAGAATTCCTTAGTCTGGTTTGGATTATCCATTGATGTCTTCCTCTTCATGTAGAAAGAAACGCCAAAAATATAAGGGAACTCTGCCTTCTTCTTATCTCACCAAGCACAAAAACTTATTTTCTTATTCTTTTCCCACTCTCTACCATGCTTCCCAACTCTTACAACTCATAGGATACCAGCACCCTATCCATCCCACTGTTACAGAGGAAAAGGAGAAGGGAAAACGGAGAGAGAGAGAGTGAGGGCGGGTAAAACTCACCCTATCAATGACAGCGCCGTTTTTAATGACCCCCATAACTCTTGGGCCATAATAACATCCCTTTATTTACTGGGCTGTAATAATGGCCCACTAGTTAACTGAGTCAATAACAATACCAAGTCAATATAATAACACGTGGGATTAGGTCTTGGTCTATGCCAAGTCCAGGAATTCAGGATCACTAACACGTCACGTGAACTCCCATAAAATAACACATAAATTATTCATCACATGAGGAAAGCTGAATTTCCTCCGGAGTTTACATATATTGAGCACAAATGATAGATAAGTTAATGACCATCACGATTACAGCGTCACGAGATTCACGAAAACACCGCACAGGTTCAGCCCTCTACGAGAGTTCAAAGGGAGAGCGTCAGACCTGCAGACCATCCATAGAGGAGGAGAAGGCATCCATGCGCAACCGTGAGATGGACACCGACAGCTGCACGCCGCCCTCTTCATCCCTTCCCGCTTTTTTTCCGTTCCCGTTCATGGATAACAACTCCACCCTCCTAGGCCTTCCCCCCCAGCCAAAATCTGCATCGTACATCCGGAACCTCGGCGACCCCGACACATTCGCTAGTCTCTCGATTGGGAAACCCGTGGGAGGAAACTTAATTGTCGAGTGCTCAAGGTCACTCAACGGTTCTCTAGTGCCCTCCTGGAAGGCTCTCCGCACCGCTGCGCAGGCCGCCTTAAAGGCCTCATCGCCGTCGGCCAGCAGCTCCGACGCCTTCGCCACGGCCACGCAGGGCTTGACGCAGTTGCCGAAGTAGCCGTCCTCGACAAGAGGGTCAAGGCGACGGCGGCAGTCGACTGGGAAAAGGAGAGGACAGATCAGGTCGTCCGAAGGGATGCCCTTCGCTCTGACGACGCTCAGCCAGATGTGGGCGGCGAGGGCGGCGAACGCCGAGGGCCGGTGAGTGGCGGTGCCCCGGTTCTTTAGGGAGGCGATGCTCTCCACCTTGACGACGAAGGTTCTCCGTGACATCTCACGCCGATCGTGGAATTTCAATAAAGAGTCAGATAGCTGAAATCGGCCATGACGCAGGTTTCAGCTATTTAAAGATAGACCGACCGGTCATGCAGCTGCTTCGGGAGACTCGGTGACCCTCCGCCGGAAGACATCCGGCACTCCGCCGCCCACACATCAACCAACTCCATTACGGCCTTACCATCGCCCGCCATGTGGTGAATAGAGAACCCAATTGCCACACTCTCCCAGGAAAACCCGTGACCTGCGCGGAGATCACCGGAGCCGGAAGCTGGTTCACGTCTAATATCGGCACACGAGCCGAGAACGCCTCCGTCTCGTTGTGCGGGTCGTCCGTCAGCCGTTGGAAATCGATCCCCTCCGCCTCTGCCCAAAGGAAATCGACCCCGTCGTCTCCGTCGCCGGAGAAACTTATGACGAGGTCGCCGGTGCCGTCGACCGCGGTGAACTTCCCGGCGAGGGCATAATAGCGAGAAAGCGTCCGGGAGAGGGACTCTCTGAGCTCTTCGACGAGGGTGGGGATCGGGCGGTCGGTGCTGAACAGCAGCAGCGTTTGCAGGGGAGGGAAACGAATCCATTGGACGTCGAAGGAGAGCTTGACGGGTTCCGGACGGGCGCCGTCAAGTGGCGAGAACGAGACGCGGGTGACTTTCAAGACTCGAACTTCCCGCATTGTTGGTGATAACCACGGAGCTACCTCATCGAAGAAGTCGTATCCATCTTGAATATTTAGGCGGTCGCCATATGTCCTACGTACCACGCATGTGCTACCTGTTGGAATTAATCTCGGCGGATCAACGAGAAGTCCGAGTGATCGACGAAATGCTAGCCGCAGACAGCTCATTTCCAGCGGTTGCCTTTCTTTATTTTGAATTTCTGTAACAGTCGTGATCATGCTCACTGGGCAGTTATGTGCGAGTAACTGCCAAAACCGGCATTGCCCACTAAATGCTCGACCTGTTCCTATAAGAGGACTCGTTCGAAGAACGTGCGTGAGTGGCTTGTGATTCTTGCCAAAACCGGCATTGCCCACAGAATTTGTGTGTTTGTTTTCTTTTTGATTCTTGGAGTGGTTCTCGTGATACGAGGGATCGTAAGGTTAGATCCTACACTACCTACTACGCCCATGCTGCATCCCGAGATAACTGCTCATTCACGGGTCTAGAAGCGCCCAGCAGATTCTTCTCTTCTCTCGACCAGTCTTAAACATCTCTCCTCTCCCGATTCCGATTCTCATTCGCTAACGCGAACACTTCAGTAAGGACTGGGAAATCACTTGCCATGACTGTATCGAAGACATAGATTAATGTAAAGAGATGAACTCAATTTGGAGCCTCACACTGAGATTAGCCCCGGGTAGCCTCACATGCAAAGTCAAGTAGGACTGAGAAACTTGATACACAGTGAAAAGAGAAGTACCGGTGGATGCTCCTCAATGTCTCTATGTAAGGGGAGGGATGCACCCTGACCATTGGAAATCACTTGCCACGCTTACGCATAGAGACTCTAGTAGACATAAAGAACATCCATTGTGATGCAGCAGCTGACATGGATGAATCATGTAGCATAATGGGCTGTCTAACTCCTCTGCTTAACTCATGTATTGTCCAGACTTTTGTTTCGTTTATTGTTATTCAATTTACCTAATAATGATTTAGGAAACATGATCAGCAATTTTTTAGACTTATCTTCACAGCAGATTGCTCCTAAAATTGGCCTGTTGGACTAAGTTGTCATCTTTTAGTCTTGACATTCTGATCAATATATTTTGTGCCATTGAATGGGGCCAATGTGTACCTAAGAATAACCTTTTATAAAAGAGGCTCCTATAGTATTAACTATGCCAATCTCTTCTAAGGGATTTTTCATTCCTTTAGAAACATTTACTTCGATGTTATATTCAAATCATGTCATGGGCATATGAACACACATCTTAGTTGGCTTCTAAGCAGTAACACCATATTGAGAAGGGAAGTTTGAATTGATATAATTTTCCTTATGATCAAGTAATAAATTTCAAACAACAATAATAATCAACAATAAAACTTAGCATCAAATTTCGAGAAACTACGTCCTTAAATTATGCTAAGCCTTAGTATTTACATCATGACTATGAAGCACAACGAACTATTAGATTTCATAGTTCCAATAACATGAGATTTTTAAAATTCTCTTCAAAATTCTACAACTTTAGGTGGCAAAAATCAGAGAAGCATAGCACAGAATATTTATTGAACCATCAATGAACATCATGAGAACTTATGTTTACACATTTAATATCTCTGAGAAATATTTAATATATATAATTGATGCTTGAATAATCCTATGGCTAACAATGAATCCAAAGAGATTATTGAACATAATACATTTGAGATATTCAATACCCTTGAGATATTTTCATATTGAACATAACACAGTGTCATATTGTTCAAATATAATAGATAAACATATGTCAACACGTGTGACAAAGTCTCACATAAAATCTAGAAGTGTAAAGTCACTTGTGAGATTCAAATGTAGGACTTGAGTGATGTGAAGTCAGAAGCTTCAATGAGAAAAACACTTGCAAAAGTAAAATATATGAATTCAAGTGTAAGATTCGAACTTGGAACGTAAGCTACAAAAAAGTTGGACTTATGGCAGCTGAGATATTTGAATATCATGAAGAGCAAATATATTGACATGATTTAAATTGAATTTTGTATGACTATTTCTCAAGTGATGAAATGACAAGTAGACATTGGAGAATGTAAGGAGCAAGCTCACAAAGAATCAGAACTAACAATGAATGAAGAAATCTATCCACCTCATTCATTCAAGCTCAAGAGAAGTTCATACTCTATCCGTCAAAGAAAAGCTACTACACATTTCAAATAAATAGTTGAAAGCTTCATCATACAACTTACTCTAAAATAATGAATCAAGTCAATAACCGCTTCAAAGATTGACTCTCTCCATCAAGTCCTAAGATACTTGGGTGGTGAGTGGAGAGAGGCTTGGGCTAAAGTATAGGGTATTGAGAGCTTATTAGTGCACGTGAAGGATATTTGAAGAGATCAATGTATTTGTCTTTGGCACGTGGTGTTGAGAATCAAAACTTTGTCTGTGAAGGGTGTGATATCTACAGAGATCAAATTGGAGAGTTTGGGCCACTAATCTCATGAAATCAAATGTATTTCTAGAAGAAAATGGTGAACTCTAGTATGATCCTTTGGAAACACACATAGCTCAGTGAAGGGTGTATTAGTATAAAAACTCTTGTGTCTCTCATGGTGACAAGTGAGAGAGAGACTAGAGTGAATCCACATAGAAAAAGAGACTAAGTTAGGTGAACTAGTATCTAGAATATAGAGATTGTGTGAGAACTTGTGAACATACACACAAAGACATAATGGAAGAATAAAACATAAAACATAGGAAATTAATTCACCCCCCTCATAGTGTTCCACCCAGCCACATCGAACCCAACACTCTATTCTAACTTTTTTTACTTAGGAGGCCCAAAATTAGAGAAACTATAAACTTCTCTCTTCAAGATTTCACAACTCTAAATAATTTTCTCTCAAATTTTAAAATAGAATATAAAAAAGGCCTCATTATAATTAATTTATGTGGACTTTATATGAATGGTACATTTTGAATCAATATAAACTTAATCATAATCACTGTGATCTGGTGAGTAGAAAACCTTTCTTTTCTTATTATTTCTTTCTTTTTCTTCTTCCCATTAGGATGAAAATGATTTTTTCAAGTCTTAATCACTAGTGTGGTTTAATTTTTGCATAATAAATCACATAAATTTAAAATTTCTAAGATTAAAAAATATCAAAATTTAAAATTTTAAAAATATTTTAGTACAAATATATCAATTATAATTTGATAAAAGGCTCTAAAAATCGTGAGAATTTTCCAAGGCATTCAAGGTTATGTAAATGATATTAAGAAAGTTTTCATTTTTTTCAAAGAATACCATTCTTTTATAATTTTTAGACTAAATAATAAAAAGAAACTCTAGTGACAAATTCACAAAAAAGTGAAATTTGAGTGTGACATTATGATGACATCAATTTCCCAATGAATGTGATTTGGGTAAAAATAGAGATGTGTTTAGTGATTATTACATAAGTAATTAATAATAATTTATTTGATCAAATTAAGATAAGTAAGAGCAAAATAATCATAGTTGACTAAATAAGAGTTCAAAATTTCAAAACATATAAAATGTCACTAACTTTAAATAAAAATAAAATATAAAATATGAAAAATTAGTTATGATGATGTAGTGATGGTCATCAGAATTTTGACCATTTAGGAGGATTATAATGCAATGTCTATAGCCTCAAAGAGTCCTTTTAGACATGAATGATGTGGACAATTTTTAGATCTCTTTGTAAAATTTAAAAAATGATATTTTCAACAATTGTTACTCAACAAAGTAGAAGTTCGGCGGTAATAAATTTTTTGGTGGCTATCACTTAGCAAACATGAGTTGAGTGGAGGTGAAGCATGTCTTAGAGAACTTCATCCTCATGTCTACATAGTAAGATGAGGCTCTTTATCGCATTTAGTATGCTATAAAGAGATCGTGACAAATCTCTAGGTAATCATCCTATTCTTGATGACTACTTATTCATTGACCAACAAGGGATGATTTCCTCAATGAATTCGTGATCCTTTTATCCAGAATGATTTATTAGTTGGTAACAACATTTTGTAAATTATATTAATGAAATTTTCATTAATGATCGAGTGATTTTAATGGTTTGATCATTGATTGGTGCTCTATAAGAAAATCATGAGTTAAACATAAAAAAATATGAATTTTGACTCTAGTGGGATTCAAACCTTTGCTAATAGCTAAGTTACATGAGAGGATATTAAAAGATTACCAAAATACCCTTGACAAAGTGACATGATGGACGTATTTCTTTCTTATAATTTACGTACATTATTATTATTAAATTTCTAACATGTTCCGATCAAGTTTTAGTCCCACATTAGTTTTATCTCGATATTTAAGACAACATATATGTACCCCCTTCTCTCTCTAGGTTCCCTCTCCCATAGAAAAAATGGTCAAGACCACGTAGGGAGAAGGTTAAACCAAGTGATATGATCCTACATACACATGTGTATGACCACTCTTTGCCCCATGTCTTGCTGGCCCCTAGTGACATGGAAGGGGAGTGATGCACACATGCTATGTGTGGGTCTTTAGTTACTAAAGCCCTTAGCTTGTGGCTCCCTCAATAATGTCTCTTATTTACATGTGGTGCCCTTTGAGTTAGCTGCTAGGTTTCGGCTAGCTAATAGGTCGTCCCTTTTTCACATTTTTTCTTTCTATTTTATTTTTATTTATTTTTCTCAAAAATATGAATATAAAAATTATATAAAATTACATAAATCACATAATTAGTCAATTTTTTTCTTCAATTAGCTAAAAACTTTTTTTCTTAATTTAACATAAATATAAGTATATTTATCATGATTTAAGGTGTAAAATATATAATTAACTAATTATTAACTCATGATAATGAAGACTTGATCAATTCAACACATGTTTGATGTTGACTTTATGAAATCATTTTAATCTAGTATTATCTAATATGTAATTAGTGACATGGATACATTTCATGACATTCATCTTTTGTTTTGATTTGTTTAAATTTCCTTAACCCAATAAGTAAGAGCAAGAAAATGATGAAAAATAAAAATTAATATTTTTCTAATCTTAATGAGATCAATTAGTGGAGTAATACTTATTAAAGATTTCTAAATCTCTTTTGCTTCTTTGTTTCTCTAGTGAGCTTTAGTAACTTTACTCTTCTAACATCCAATCGTGATCATCTTCACACACACACATAAGAGAGAGATCACAAGAAAAATGAGAAGGAGAGAGAGAGAGAGAGAGAATGAGAACAAGTGTATGAGAGAGAAAGAGAACAAGACATCAAAATTATATTATTCCTGTTAGCCATAGGATAAGTTCTACTTACATTTTTTAGTTAATTAATAATATCTATGAACCTATAAAATATTTCAAAAATAATATCATTCTTATTCATGGTAAACAACTTCTACTTGTTAACTGATTGATGTGACCTAGTCATTATATTAAATCACATAAAATTAAAATTTATAAAGTCAGAAAATAATATTTTTTAATTTTAAAATTATTTTACATAAATAGATTAATTTTAAATCAATAAAGAGCTCTTAGAATAGTGAAACAATTTCAAGTCAATCATGGGAATATATGATAATATCAAATAAAAAACTTCAATTTTTTTCTCAAAGAATATGATTTTATATGATTTGTGGACTAAAAGATCATAATTAATTTTTTTTAAAAATTAGAGAAAAAAAAAATCAATACTAATGTCAAGCAGACATCAGCACCTACTAGGACAGCGGTTTGGGCAAAAACATACATCAACACCTCTTTCTCCCTCTTTTGAGATCTCTCTTTCTCTTGAGATCTTTCTCTAAAAATCTCTATATCTTTCTCTCTCTTGGTCTCTCCCTCTCGAGTTCCTTTCTCCCTCTAAAAACATTTCTCTTTCTTTAGAGATAACCTTTTCTTTTCTTCCTTCTCTCCTCTTACCCTCTCCTTTCTCTTCTATTTCACTTCTTTCATATAAATTTATTTATGCCCTTAATATCTATAATATTAAGTATCTTCTTATTTTTTTATTAAATAATAATAAAATTTAAAAATCGCTCTTTATATAAACTTTGTCAAAATTTCGCAATGAATTATTTAATCTTCTTGTGTTTAGATTGAGGCTTACATCTATGTTAAAATATTTTAAATTCTTAACTGTAAATTTTATTAGATGTTGGGTATTTAAACACAATGACAAATGTGCATCAATATTCTAAGTATGTTATTCTCTTTCAAAGTAAATAAGAAATTCTAAGCCGGCACGTCATAAGGGTAAGAACCATCTAAACAAAGAAAAAGACTAGAACCAGCCAGCAATTTTAGGGTAGAGAGAAGTGCACCGAACCAAGAAGAAGCCCACATGTCTACTACAATGGTTCTTCGATGAGTGAGCTGTTGTGTTCAGGAAGATTTTGCGCCTGCAAGGTCTTCCAGGGTGAGATTGAGTGTGTCCACAGATCCTTTCTTCACCTCCTCACCTCGTGCTGCCAAGAACTCCTCAACACTCCCCGGTGTGCCAAACCACCCAAGCCGATCGGCAATCAGGTGGAGATTATTGCATCCTTCACAGCGGGCCACCACAATCCCCTTCTCATATGATTCGCGGCATGCAGTCTTCACCGATCTCGTTTCACAGACCTTGCAGGTGAAGATCATGGCGAAGTCATGCCTGCTGGAGGTCTTCAGGCTGGATATGGCGGAGTACTTCATGCCGGTTGGCTCTCCACCATCTGGGCAGGGTTGGAGGGACATCTCTGCCGAGTTAGAACTGCTGAATTGAGGTTTGGGTTTTGCAGGATCTTCTTCTGCTACACTGCTAGATTCTGCATTTGTCTGAATTCCTCTTGTAGCAGTCAGCATCCTAAAGAGCCAAGAGAGCCCTGAAACCAGCAAGAGAAAGAAAGGTTATCATATATGCAGTGAGAGGGGAGAACATGATGTCCACATTGAAGCCTGCAGAACCATAGTCTCGGATTCCTTATGATGAGTCAACGAGATGGATGTGGAAGAAGGTTATCATCATCATCATCATCATCGTCATCATCATCATCATCATCATCATCATCAGGAGCAAAAACAGGGAAGAAGATGATCGTCTCCTACATCCACTTCCCCTCTTCCCATTTTCACCTTCTTCCTTCAATTCCTTGTCCCTTGTTCAATCTGAGGCAGCGAACTGCGGTTGGAATGGGATGAAACCAAACCCTAGACCCTCTTCTTTATGACAGCGGGTGGCACCATGGATTCACAAGGTAGTAAAACTTTACACACTCTATCCTGCCCCAGACAGATTCTGGCACGAATCAATGGGATACAATGAGTACCTCAGTAGAAATGAATCATCTAGAGGCAGAAGCAACCCGAAGAATATTACCACGAGAATTCGTCTTCCGAATAACTGTTCTACGATCATTTTCGTAAAACTTGGCCTCCGATTTGACCTAAAGAGTCTCAAAATATTAATGAAGGAGAAGAAAACAGACGGAGACAATGTATGAATCCAGAGATGTCGGAATGGCAGAAACCCTAAAAGGACGCCGTTCTCCGCTCACAGACCTCAGCCGCCACCATCCGTCCGCATCAACCAAAAAACACAGAAAAAAACCAAAGCAGGGGCACAAAAACCCTAGACATCCTCGTGATTCCTCCCCTCCTCCCCCTTTCCGAATCACAGTCGATCGTCGTTCCTATAATAACACGGTCATGAAAATAGGGCCGGAGAGAAGATACCTCCATCAGGCTCTGCACTCGCTTGTTCGAGAGATTGAGCCCCCCGATACGAGAGACGAGCTCGCAGCATTCGGAGCGACGGCGCTGCGGCGACGAACAGGGACCTGTGCAGAGAACCGCCGCCGGAAGCCATCCCTTTCCCGCCGGCAGAGAAGGCGCCGCCGCCGCCGCCGCTGCCGGCCCCCCCACCCGACGATTTCTACTCGAAAAGAGAGGTATCCGAGGGCCCGCCCGACCCGATAATTCCGGAAATATATAAAATAATTATCATCCCATATAAACCCCATTAGATAAATAACTATTTGGAAGTTAATTTTGAGGAATGAAATAAAAAAAAGAAAATCTGTATGGTGGCGGCACAAAAGACGGCGGCACGGGGGCCATCCGATACCGGGTGAACGGTTCGGATCCTTTTTAATACGAGATTATTTTCCAAAGGTTTTAGCTACAAATGGCGGCGCCCAGGTGGGCCGCCATCTCATCGTGATGAAGAGCTTCAATCAATCCAGCCGTCGGATGGATGGGAGGATCAATCTTTGTCGTCAAGAACCCTGCACCAGCTCCCTGATGTCGTACCCTTGCACCTGAAGAGACGACGGAGGAAGAAGAAGAAAAGCAGCAGCAGCAGCAGAAGGAGAAGGAGAAGGAGAAGGAGAAGAGGAGGGTTGTGCTGGTGTACCTGGAGGAAGGTCAGCAGGATGATGACACCGGAGTTCCAGAGGGCATGGATGGCGATCGGCGTGAGGAGATTCCGAGTCTGGGCGTAGGAGAGGCCCAGGACGGACCCTGCCGGCGAATAGGAGAAGGAGGGATCAGAGAGCTTGAATGACGGCGACGGAGGAGGTCGGAGGAGGGGGGGCACCTAACACAAACAGCTGGGGGAACTCGCTGGGGGTGAGGTGGGCGAGGGCGAACACGGCGGCGCTGACCAGGGCCGCCGCCGGCGTGGGGAGCCATTTAGTCAACGACACCATCAGGAACCCCCTGAAGACGGTCTCCTCCAGGAGCGGGGCGAGGACCCCGGTGATCCCCACCAGGACGGCGGTGCTGCAGAGCTCGAGGGGGATGAATGTCGGATGAATCAATCCCAGAAATGGCGAGGAACAGGGCAATTCAGTGTCAGTAGTACCTGGTGGAGGAGGAGCCGATCAGCGGCAGCAGCTGCACCAGAGCGTCCGTCTGAAACAGTGGAGAGCAATGAGGAGGAAGACGACGAAGAAGAAGAAGAAGAAGCAGGAAGCAGGAAGCCCACATCTCTCTGGGGATTCTCCCCGCTGAAGAAGGCGGAGGTGGCTCCCGTCAGAGCTATGGCGGCCACCGCGCCGCTGAAGCCGATGCCCGCCCACAGAAGCCAGCCGTCCTGCAGCCTGAAGGGCTCCCTCAGGTCTGAAACAACGGCGGTCGTCTTCCCTTTCTCATACCATGCGCTCGAAGACTAGAACGATCCATTCGGAAGAAGATGAAGAACAAAGGAAGAACATGATGGGGGAGTCTGCAGCGAGCTCACCGTAGCAGAAAACATCATCAGGAAGGGGGCGAAATGAGTTGGTGATTCCGAAGACGACTCCCAGCACCACCGCCGTCACCAAGCTGAGGAAGGAGAAGAAGAAGAAGAAGAAGAAGAAGATTAATTGGGGGGGGGAGCCACTTGGCACGAGTTTGATGCAGTGAAGTGAGTGGGAGATGGCATCTTACAGCTGGCCGGTGAAGAGAAGCTCTGCTCTCTCGTCCAAGCTCAGGGTCCCTCCCTGAAACCCTAGATATGGCAGGACGGACGCCGCGGAGAGACCTATCAGAACAAAACTGCCTGAAAAATTTTCAGTAAAAGCGGGAGCTGTCCCTGGAGATCGGGCAAAAGGAAGGAGTTTCAGGCTAAACCCATTCCCGGAGATCTCTGATCTTGGAAGAGAGGGTCAGCGATGGAGAGGAAGGAATGATTGAACTGAAGAAAATGGAGAACTTTCTTCACCTTAGCCCGCAGGCGAGCATGGTGAGAACAACCGTCTGCCACCTCCAAGGAACGTCCCACCGATCGAAGATCGGCCAGCCGCTAGCAGAATCCTGGAGGAATCACGAGAAAAACTGCGTGTAAGGAAGGACGGTGGGGGCGCGAGTTCCTGTAATAATCCCCGGCGAAGCGGCGGCGGCGTACGTCATCTCCGGCGCTGCAGAAGCAGACGAAGCCGAGCCCAGAGGCCCCCCTCCGCCGGCGAGGCGACAGAAGAGGGACGGCGGTGGCGGAGACTGAAGCTTCCCTCCCCCTAGGAACCAGGAGCCCACAAATCCTCGGGAACGCCGGCGCCAGCCCCCTCCCCCGACGAAGAGGCACCCTGCAAGCCGGCGGCGACGCCCATGTGAACGGCCGCGGCTGGCGGGACCCCACAAGGAGGGAGGGCGGGGGATGGACGGCGGCCGCCACCAGCGGAACCATAGCCACCCCTGAAAAGCCAGGAAGCTCTCTCACCCAGTACAGCCGGAGCCACCGCGGAGGAGATAGAAGAAGGGGATAAGATGGGTGGGCTTCGTCACCCTCGGCCCATCGAATCAGTCATGAACATTCTCATCAGTATGACTTAATCAGAAGCAGACTCTGAGCATAATCAGTCAAAGAGTACAACTTTATTCGTTCTGATGTCAACCCGCCCAAAAGGGTTTTCGCCTTCGACATGGGTTTTTCGTAATCGTCTCAGATATGCATACATATTTATAAGATATAATAATTAATGTACACTGGAGAAGAAAATAAACGCGCAAAGACACCGGCTTTGTCACAAGGACCGGCCCACCGTCGGCTTCCATGGCCATTAATTAGCTCATCCACGAGAAGAAAATTCTCCCCCACCTTCGTCCTCGCTCATACTCATCCTCCGCTCGCTCTTGCTCTCTGGCATGTCCAGAGACGGCAGGTGAATCGGAGATGCTGAACCGGGAGCATGGCGGCGATCAGAGGCGGGGCACCCGCTGAGGGCTGGCCGGCGGGTCTGGGGAGATGGCGAACTGCAGGCCCCGGGGTTGACCCGGCTGCAGAATGAACGTCACCTCGGAGGCGGCGGCGGCCAGCTCAGGCACTTCCTGCTCGGATGAGGTGCAGACGGATGTGAATCACCAGCACAGTTCATCATCCATGTAGTTGACTTGCGACATAGAATGGAACTTGCAACTTTATCTAATCATGGAGATTAATTTTCTCATTCAGGCAAAGTTTGGTATTATTTTTTTTCTTGCAGAGAAATCAAGTTCCTTTGGAAGGAGAAAAGAAAAAACAACAGAATATTAACGACACCGAAAGAATTATAATGGCTAAAGTCAAACTTTGACCATTTTCTAACTAGGTCAGTCGAGGCAGAAAAATATTCAGAGAGCTTGGGTTCAATTCTATCAATTGAGTTATGACAAATGAGTCTGCCTGATTCAGCGCCAAACTATACAAAAGTCATAAAAAAATTCAGATTATCGAAGGACATATCAGGCAGACGAAGATGAAATCCAGGATAGGATAGTGCGGGCAGAATTAGAGTTAGATCTGTCTCTAAAGATCGAGATATGATACAAAATAATCTCACAGAAAGAAGCATTCAAAGATAGAGACACTAAAGTCAACACCTATTCACAGCTATGGATTGCGTTGCTAGCTGTTTATGGAGTTCCGGGTCATAATTGATTGGACTTTTGCAGCAAGCAAGGCTCATTTTTGTCTTCTAACGGCAACAAAAAATTAATTCTTACAGAATTAGAAGCGGGAGTTTCCAAAAAGGAATAAAATCACAAGAACAGCCTCATTTTAAAGATGGCAATAATACTTTGGAATGATATTTTGTTAAATTAATTGGTAAACATAATAACAATAGACATGGAATTATGCCAGCAATTCAACAAAATTCTCTGGATTGTTAAGCTAAATAATCGTATCAAGAGGAAAAAAAAAAGGGCACGTGTATTTCATAGTTGCGTAGGGTTATATATTTTGCAAGTTGACAGAAACTCTATACACCAACCTGTCTTTCTCTTAGACGTTGTAAAATGCTGATTGCCCATGCCATTATGTAACAAGGCAGTAAAAAACCAGCAGCCCTCAGCAAGAATAGCTGTGTGGAACATAAAAAATGAAATAATGAGATTATCATACAAGTAAAGTAACGACCGAAACATAACAAGAACCCTTTTCACATCTCACAATCCAGAGATGTGGCAAAAGTTCAGTGACCAAAAGCTCCGTGACATCAACCACCTTAACGATTTTACTTTTAGACAACATGCCTTACTGGTTAGTAATTAAGCTCGTGAAATCAAGAAGCAACATTCAATCAAAAGCCTCCAGAGGTCGAGTGGTGATAGACAGAAGATGCACGTTTTTCATAAAAATATTATATGCCCCCCCCCCCCACGGTAATTACGAACAAAAATGTAACTGACTAGTATTGTGGCACGTACAAAGAAAAACGTGGAAGCATCATCTTCTCCTTCAGTATCGTTGATGGACAATGCATGCCTCAGTAAAAGGAGAGCCATCAACTGCAAACATACGAGAGGACACAGAGAATCAAATTATTCCTTTCCATAAAATCATGGTACACGCGCCTAAAGATGCCTGATGGATGACAATACACCGTCCAGAATAAATCAGAAAATGAAACAATAATAATGTAGAATAAAAAAATTAGAAGGCCAGTGATCTGGTGGATAGGCTTACAATAAGAGCAGCAGAACGGCAAAATGATGCACCGCTGGCATTTCTAGCAGCATATTCATCAAATTCAGCTTCAAGGAAGTGACGTTGCGCTGCTGCCATTGCCAACAGCCGCGGATCATGCAAATCGAAAGGAGTACCAGAGATACCCCAACCACTACCAATCATCACGAAAAGTCAGTCAGGACGTCACCATGTGTGATAACCTGTTTGGTGGGTTCTGTAGAAAATGCAAGACCAAGGAAATCAAACATTGGAGAATACAGGGAGAAGCATCACTATATTTACCTGATGTCAATGGCAGTTTGATCAGGGATAATTTGTGGAGGTGCAACATACCCAGACCTATATGGCTGCAAATCATAGAAGGACCAGCCATTAGCCATCAGCTTTCTGGAAGAGATGAACTCTCAAAGACTATGATTTTTGTATGCCAAGATCTGACACTGTTTATGTCAAAATGCTATATAACAGAAGACTCATGGCATAACACTTTCTACCCATCTTATACAAAGTCAGTAAAGGTTGAATTTCTGAAATAGCGGATATCAAACTGATAAATTGAGAACACCAGAGAGAATGTGCTAACCTCGTGGCAAATCTCACAAGTAAGATCTCCTTTCTCATTAATCCATCGCTGCAGACATGCTCTATGAGCATACTGGATGAAAATTAAGAACATTAATTACCAATGCTAAACGACGTGACCATAAAAAATGGGAAAATATACATGAATCCCTAATATTAATTAATCATCCCACTAATTTATAGTAAAATTTAGCATCAAATGCAGCTGAGAAGCATGATATTGTGAAATTTTAATAACGAGCTTTTATGCCCATGCCTATGCTTCCTCGCAGAGGCAAAAAAAAACACACACTAACACAGAACAAGAGTTCAAAGATCAATTAATCCAACGACATTTCAGTAAAAAAAAGAACACAAGTTGATACCTTCAGGCTCCCACTGCAGGCACAAGGGGTGTCCAAGTTTTTGATGCTGTCCTCTTCTTGGCAAATTCGGCACTCTACACCCTGAATGAGCGGCTCTTCCTCTACAGGTATGCCAATCTCCACATTTTTCTCGCCAACGGCAGAATGGATATTAGAGATCGAGGGCCAGGCGGTCATGGACGCATGGCTAGCTCTAGCGCGATCAGAAGATTCCGGGACTTCCGCTGACGAGTGTGACTCCATAGCCTTGGGCTTCGCAAGGTTGTCGACATGCAGGGCGAGATGTTCACCCATTCCCAAAATGGCCTTTCCGCGGACTCAACAGCGACGATCAGGCCTCCCCTCAAACCGAATCACTCGACAGTATAAATTTTAAACGAATTCGACTTTCCTGGCAGAGAGAATCATTTCAGAGAACAGACATTTGGGAACGCGAAGAAATTCCACAATGCAACAAAACAAACAACGGCGAATCTAAATCTCCACCAGCAATCTATGACGTCGCTTTATAATCTTGAATACAACGAAAGGCAGAAACGCAGACGACTTGATTTGAAGTAGAAAGTGGGGTGAAATCCAATGAACGACCCCATTGCACGAAAGGAAAACCCTAGAAACCATCAAGCACGTCAAAAGTTCCGCCAACTAGCAGGCTCCGCCCGCCGAACCCACCTCATAGGCGCTCAAAGCAAAATGAGAATGCGGTCATTTCGCACCAGGACGCACGACTTGGAAAAAAAATTGAAGAGAAAAAGGGTTAGGATTGGAGACTCAAAGGATACCTACCGCCGGAGCTGCCGAGGACGTCGCCCCCGAGAGAACGAAAGCGTAGTCAGAGGGAAAAAGGGCGTTTCTGATATGAGAGAGAGAGAGAACAGGTTCGGATTCTTCCGAGCCTATGTGTCAGCCTGGGCTTATGTGGAGAGATTCTCCGGACCCACATAGGAACCTGATATCTAATGTCTCCAATCGGATCTAGATGGCTTCTAGATTTCTCTTAAATTTTTTCCTGCAGTATTTTTAATTATAAAAATATAATTTTTATTTAAAATAATTATTTAAGAAAAAAAAATCAGCCTGATGTCAACTTCGCACCCAGAATTGTATTATTTCAAACGGGAAAAAGATAATACACGGCCCGAATTATGGAACCGGGACCAATATCCGATGGGATCCGACAAGACCTGGTTGGTCACCCGGGCGCCTATTTTTGTTGACCTGCCACGCCAACAGATCCCGCACACAGTCAACGCTCGGATTATCGAGAAGACTGGTGAGGGGCGGGGTGGTCGCGGACGGCGCTCGGGCGGTCTTTCTGGTCAAACCCCTGACTTTTCGGACCCTATGATTTTTGGTCAAACCCCCTCCCCCAGTCCTCCTAGGCCTCTCCTATCTCGGTGGATTTTTCTGGATAATAAAATCGCGAGATATTTTTTCAAATATCTTATCCGCGGACTGCTCTAAAAGCCACGAGGATACTAAATTTTATAAATAATATTATATGGAGAAAATCTGGGGGAGAATAATATTATTATATTAAATTTTTTATATTATTATTATGATAGCGGAACACCTCGTATAATAATCGTCATGTTTATCATTTTTCCGCCGACTTTGGATCATTTTCTCGATCTCTCTCATTTATTCGGTGATGAATAACGTTTTTTCGTGCAAAATGGGGAGAAAAAGAGGAGGGAATAAATTTATAATTGCCAGTTTACAATTATTAGTAAAAGGAATATAATATCATACATAGAATTATATTGTTTACGGACACGAATAAATATGAAGAAATTATACATTTAGAACGAGATATTTGCGATTATATTCTTGAAAAATATAATATGACGCGTATTTAAAAAATATGAAATTAAAAAAATAGCGCGATTATTAAAATGGGCTTCGATGTTTTTTCAAGGCAGGTGCTGTTTAGATGCCTGGCAAAGAAAAAATGAAAATAGATGAATAAATAACGTACATTTATAAATTATAATATTTTTTTCGATGCGAAAAGCGTGTTTATGCACCGAAGTTACGTGGGTGAATGTTGTTGGACACGTGGCAGAAATCATGGGTGAATGTTGTTCGGACACTGGGCAGCTAGCTCCCCGCCGACAGAGGGAGAGAAAGGGGGGAGAGAGAGGGAGAGAAAGGGGAGAGGGAGAGGGAGGGAGAGGGAGAGGGAGAGAAAGGGGAGAGGGAGAGGAAGGGGAGAGAGAGAGAGAGAGAGGAGGGAGAGGGAGAGGGAGGAGAGGGGAGGAAGGGGAGAGGAGAGGAAGGGGAGAGAGAGAGAGAGAGAGAGAGGACAGAAAGGAGGGGGGAAGAGGGAGAGAAAGGGGAGAGGAAGGGGAGAGAGAGAGAGGGAGAGAAAGGGGAGAAAGGGGGAAGAGGGAGAGAAAGGGGAGAGGAAGGGGAGAGAGAGAGAGGGAGAGAAAGGGGAGAAAGGGGGAAGAGGGAGAGAAAGGGGAGAGGAAGGAGAGAGAGAGAAAGGGAAGAGAGAGAGAGAGAGAGAGAGAGCCGTAACGGTTGTCCAAAGGATAGACTGTCGACGAGGAGGAGACGGCGAGGAATCTGCAATGGCGCGGGGCATCAGAAGGGACCGTTGCGGAGGCGTTACGTTGCCCTTCCTTATAAATCCGCCCCTCTCTGATCACCGGAGCTCGGAGTGGAGGAAGTACCTCGCCAGAGTTGCACCGGCAGCGGCTTCATCTCCTCCTGAGGATGGAGATCACAACCGGCGATGTCCCGGTGACCTACGACGTCACGGTGGACGCATGGGTGATCAACGTCGAAACCGCCGCCCCCATCGGCGTCCTGGTCTGCGCGAGGAGCGCCGCCCCTTCTCCGGTGAGAACGCAGGGCAACCCGGCGAGGCGCGAAACCCTGCCGCCGGCGAGGCGGCGGCGGCGGCTGCCGGTGCTTCTCCCCTGTTGCGGCGGAGCGCCGCCGCTGAAGCTCCATCCATGGAAGCGGCCGGGCATGGCCGCCGGGAGGCGCCCCTGTCAGGCGTCCTCTCAGATGGACCGCGACGAGATGCTCCGGGAGGCCATCTCCTACTGCAAGATGACCATCAGTTGACCGCCCCACCCTACCCCGTCTCTTATCTCTCTCTCTCTCTCTCTCTCTCTCTCTCTACTACAAGATGACCACCAGTTAACCTCCACACCCCCACTCTCCTCTCTCTTTCTTCTCTCTCTCTACTGCAATATGGCCACCAGTTAACCCCCCACCACCCTCTCTCTCTCTCTCTCTCTCTATATATATATATATATATGTGGGTGGAGAGGGGGGCGAGAAGAAAGCATGGCTGAAGACTGAAAATAAATAGAATCGTCCTGGCGGCTGTACAGAGAGAGGCCAGTTATTCCGAGTTCTTCCGGGTGGACTCACCGGGTCACCCGAGTGACGATGTAGCGCCCCTTCTCCAGGTCATAGATCGTCTTTAGCTGGGGCTTCTTCCACCTCGCCGCCAACCACCCCATCGCCACCACAACCACGAAGACGACCAGAGCACGGAGCAAGGAAAACCGGCCCTCCCCGGAGATCCAGTTCGGCTGCCCAGAATCCGCTGTCTCTGCTGCTGCCGCCGCCACCACCAGCATCAGGAAGGAGCCCAGCGCCCAGTCCAGCGGTATGCTTCCGACTTCATTGGCGTACACAATCCTGCCCAAGATCATGTACAGAGTCAAAGAGGGTTGACCAGAGATCAACCAAGTCAACGGCACCGATGAATTCACCACCTTCCACTAGAGCTGGGTGGGTAAGAGAGAGCCAAAACTGACGTGCATTTTACCTCTGATCATCCAGCGCCACTCCGAGGCCGTCGTGGAGCAGCGCCACGATGTACGCTGAGGAGAAGCAGTAGCGCAGCAGATCGTCTTCCTCCAGAGAAGGGTACTTCCTCTTGAGCTTCATCCAATCCTCTCCACAGAATCTCTCCCCAGCGGCGACGAAATCAGAGAGAAGTGCTGCCGGGCCCAGCCCGAAGAACTGCCGGGCACAAGAGAGGGGACAGATGAGGAAGCTCCACAGAAAAATACCGCATTGGACTGATCATGAGAAAACGGGACGCGTTCAGTACCTTGGAAGTGAAAAAGAAATTCTCCGTCGCCAAGAACTTCCCTTCCAGCGCAGGAACAAACGCTGATCCCAGACGGCACTGTCTATACGGGCAATCACCTGCCAAAGCCCTGGAGTTATTCATCATAATATGTATGATTCAGGTTGCATCATGTGATTGACTTTTGTCGGGAGCAAGAACCATCATATGATTGGTAGAGAGAGAGAGAAAAAGAGAGAGGAAAAAGTCAACGCATTCTCCAAACACAGGTGAGCATGGTCAACTTGGGATTTTTCACAGATTAATAAAAGCATGGGCCTAGGTTTGTGACTATTGTAGTCATGTAGATAGATCAGGCCCAATATGGAAACAGGAATTTGCCATCATGGTTCTTGAGAATTTAACTGGATAAACAAATGCCAAAATGAATCAAATACGAGGAGTCAGCGGAGATTCTTTCTCGTTGACTTCCCCGCCCCCCCCCCCCCCCACGAGACGACTCTCCACAGTATCCTAGTTGACCAAAGAAAAGAGGTAGGAAGACAAGAGTTTAAGGATGTTAGAACCACACTTGCTACCTTTTCCTCTTTGCAGCAGCATCTGCACAGCAGATCTACACTCCGAGAAGTTACCAGTTATATACGGCCAGCTCTTGTCTGATTCCACACTTCTTGCGTATCCTCTAGGGGTGCAAGGATCTCTAAAGCTTTCAACAGCAGGGGATATTGCATCTGCATAGAACATTGCTTGCTTTAGTATTTCACAGAATGCTGTGTCTTTCTATAATTGCCATTTTCCTCACAAGCTGACATTGACTATTTATGAGTAAAGTCAACCATAATTACGTGCATTAGGATATAATGCATCTGATTATGATAGCTAAGTTAATAAAACAATACGCCAAGTTTTAATTGTGACCACTGATGGCCAATATGCCGCCTTTATCTACGGGCTGTCAGAGTTTTTCTCTATCTCAAATACTTACATATGTTCTTGGGGCCATGTGGCGATACCTGCGATATTGATCATCAAAGCAATAAAAACCACAGAATGATAGAAAAACAATGCTCTATGTATGAAGCACTCATTCAATTCAAACTTAACGAATCAATGCACCTATATCCGGCTGAAGCCTGTGGAATTAGCATGAGTTGGAGGCCTTCAGACTTCTTTAAGTAACTCAAAACATGTAATATACAGGACCCAAGGGAGCCTCCACAAAGGCCTCTAGAAGGGTGGGGGGTGGTCCCATAGAAATAATAACCCGGTTCCAAGCTACAAATGCCAGTAAACCCAAACAATTGCAGGCTGCAAGCTGCAGTACCAAAAGTCATGCAATGATTTCTTCAGATATTTGCATATTTCTTTGTTGCTGAATATTTGACACGGCTACATGATGTAAGATAACAGAAGTAGAGAACCATGAGAGTCATATACCTGATTTTAACTCTCTTGAGCTCAGAAACTCACGAAAAAACTCATGTGCTGCATTCTGCAAGTAACACAAGTCCCACAAAAGTGAGGAACAATGGCCAAAAGCAGCCTGGTCATCTTCTCTATAAAATGTTGGATTCCATGAAAAAAGACTGCAGCTTTCTGAAGTACATCTCAAACATGAAATTCAATATTTAACTCATATCCTATCGAATTAAATAAAATTTAGGAACTTGAAATGGGGAGAAAAATAATGAATGCTTCATCCAGAATCTAGAGTTTCCCAATTGCATTAACACCAAATTTCACAAGGTTGAAATTGGGTCCTACAAAAACATAAAAGGAAATGATAAAACGGGGTACATGTATTTTGGTCCCCCTGCTGCCCAAATTCTCTGAGCCCATTGGTTTCTGAAATCATTCTAACGAGGACATTGGAGTCGACCATGAACCTGACAAGGTCTACACTCGAAGGAAGCACACGGCTGGACTTGGTGAATAATGGAATAGAGATTTCTTTTTGCAGATTTGCGTAGGCCATCGTATACAAGTTTATCCTTGACTATTTTGGCAATTTCTAGGGATTATCTAACGTCTATCAAACAACCTAGCGTATCCAACGACTTAAAGACCCTATGAAGCATCTAGCGCAGAAATTCCAGCCCATTATTCATGGGAGCTATTGAGATTTCTAGGCCAGACGAAGAGCGCCTCTTCAGAGGTCTCATGTTGCTCCAAATAGGAGGCTGAACTTGACGCCAAAAAAGTCAATATTTTGAATGAAAATTTTGCTCCTAGCTGTTTCTCCAGGAGGTTGTGAACGACCTCTAATGTGAAATTGGGGCCCCAGGCGTGAAGCTGAGGGTTAGTTTGTCTTTGTTCCATCCCTAACATCCTTTAGAATGAGTGGGATTTCTACATCTCCGAAACGAGCATAATTGGTGGGCTGTTTGCTGCAAGATCCTTAGCAATAAGTCTCCATCAACAGGTTAAAGGTATAATCATTGTCAATCCTACTTTCGACCTCTCATCTAATTTGCCATCAAAGATATTTTATAGCTAGTTAGACTTGTCTCTAAATTCCCATCAATCCTACCTCTTTGTCCCATTTTCTAATTTTCTCTTTTATCTCATCATATACAAACACCATTAATTCGCAAGATATTGTTGGAAACAAGGGAATATATTTTCCTCACCTTTCCTTCGTCAGAAATTCCCATTATTCGAACCTATGGCCCTCTGTATGCAAAACAGATATGCATACCATACTGTGGTACACTCATAACATTCGATAAATGTTACATGATCTAAAGGATAGAGCCAATTTCAGCATATAAAACGTATGCTGACGTTTTCAACACATTAATTTCAATCGCAGAGCACATCTTATGCATTCTCATAGTTCGCATATCAATTAGGCTATTGACTAAATTAAAGAAAATTTGTTCGATATTAAACAATACGAAAAAGCAATTGAAAACAGTCACGTTAGCAATAATTGATATCAATAAAGAAAATAAGACAAAAAAATTGAAACGAAAAGTACAAGCACACATGTAACACCACATCACACGGGAAGGTATTCATCTCAGAGAAATAATTTCATAAAAACGGAAGGACTGACTACACTATGACTACATTATCTTCCGCTACTTCACACAGAGAGAGCAGAGCAGCACATGAAAAGTATGAGGACAAAATGCTTCAAGAATTCCTCAAACAACCCATGAGTTCTATTAAATGAGAGCAGACAGCATCTGAAAGTCAATACAGTTATCAGTTTTGACGACTAATGCAGTATATTTAATAGAAATAAAAAGGATCCACAGATCTAATAGTGAGAGGAAGAACATCATTGACAGATATTTTAGTATGAAAAATTTAGGTGATAGTTTATTCACCTGGCCAAAATGAAGGAAACTGTGGGAATAAAGGTTGTATGTAACTTTGCCAAATTGAAGCACATATGTAAATTCAGAAGGAAGAGGCTCACTTGAGAAAAAGGTAACCTGTGCCAAGTAGAAGGAAAATTAATTCAGAACAAAATGAGAAAATCAACAATGTTACACAAATAAACGGAAAACAAACAAAAATGTCATCCAATCACTGCAATTGCATTAGATTCTCATTGTGAACATCTTCCTAATTAATAGGAGTTTTAATGTAGACGCATTTCTCTTTCCATGGTTTGTATGATATTTCTACCCACTAATGCAAATATATGGAATGGCACTCGGAAATCTCAGAGGAAACAATTTAGCAATGCGTCAATCTTTTCTAACAGGCACATCCAACTCAGATAGCCAATCGTGGAGCACGAAGAAGATGAGGAAGTAGAAAGTATAACAAGAAATTCTAAAATAATTAGCAAAATGAAAAGAAAAGATTGAACCACTCGTCCTAGACACAAACCAGGGAATACAGTTGATAGCATAAGAGTATATTACTCCAAGATTCCGTCCGTACTTTCCTTGAGAGTAAACTACCTGCCATGCCAATGTGCCCTTGTTCATGATCTCAGTCCCCGATCTGAAAGCAGGTGTGATGATACTTGAAACAACAAGACCCAATGCGCTATGCTGACATGTATCATAATACCAGCCCACAAGTTTTTTTCCAATCTAGTACCAATAAGGTAAATATACAAGAAAAAAAGTTAACATTGCAAAGCTTTTTTTATCAGTGTGCGACAGGCTTGTTATTTCTGGCCACAATCTGATGGACGGAGGCCACTTTTTTCCATTTCATATAGCTACGATCTGAGATGACAAATAGCACTAATTCAAGGATAATTTTAGGAATATCCTGCACAGACTTATGAGAGACCTTATTGGTCGAACGCTAAATATGCCAAAAAAAAGATAATATAATCATATATTTCTCTTATACAACAAGTTTTCTCTACAGAAACAACAAGAACTCGTCAGAGTAAATCCAGTATACGTTTTCCCAAACCTCTATACAAAATTCAACAGGAACAGAGAAAATCCTCCACTACTTTGTATTAGTAGGGTAAAACATGGTTTTCACCTCCTGTATGCAGATGGAAATCGTCAGAATGGGAGGAAACCAAACCTGAGCGGAAGCCCCACCAAGTTCAATTATCCCAGTTGTATGCTGAGGATCACCACCCAAAGACCCAAGTGCATAATTTGCAGCAACCCAAGCGTAAATACCTTCATCAGTGCCTGAAAATAGAGACAATCATAAGCTTAACGTAAAATAGACTATGCTTAACGTAAAATACATCATAAGCAGAAATTAGTCACGATAATTATCAAAAATATCATATAAAATAAATAGCCCCATCCAACTCTGGCTCCAGCTGATTGTAAAGGCAGAGTCTCCATGCAGGAGTTTATAGGCATAGAACATTCAGCAGGGGGGCATCTTCATGTTACCACCAAGGTAGATCATGAAGAAGAAAATATTATAACTCAAAGAAAGAAAATGCGAGATTGAAAAGAACAGCAAATCATAAAGGAACCAAGCAATCGGATGCCTCATTGAGATGAGGCTTTCCCCTGCGTATAACCCGCAAGAAGGCCATCCCATTGCAATCTTCTTAAAACGCTTCAGAGATCTCACAATTTTAGACGTCAATTTGGCTATGGTTCCTCTGGAACAATTTTAGACGCCCAGATAGGATGTTCTAGCCTTATTAGGCTAATAGCTCTCGACGTGAGGGCATTCTACAGAGCATGAGTCTTACGAGGGAAGACATAAACTTATGGAGGCATAATGAGCTTGCCTGTGATGACCGACGCCCAATCTGACCGAAAGAGGAAGCCCGAGGCCGTCAACGCCATCCTACAGGAGTCCAAAATCCTCTCCTGGACTCGCTTTTCCAGCAGCCGCAGCCCTGCCGTCGCCATGAGCCGGACCTTGGTCTCCCCCCACTGGCTCCGGGGCACCTTCTCCCTCCCAAAATCCAGAAGCCCAATCAGGGACTCCCCAGCCATCTCCGGCTCATCGGCGTACGCAGACAACCCCGGATTCTCCTTCAACGTCGATGTCGCCTCGAGATCCAGGACCGGCGTCCCACCCTGCCCAATAACATACGCGAAAACGTGGATCCTCGTCCCCGTGCTCCCGCCATCGATAATGATTTCGAACCGCCGGCCGCTCCTTCGGGATAGAAAGCAGACGACGAAGAACACGAAGGCGGCCGCGGCCGTGGCGGCGAGGGCCGAGATCCAGAATCCGCCGCTGCCGCGGGAGTGCTTCCCCTGGCTGCCGGCGGCGCCGATTTGGGAAAAGAGGGAGAAGCTGGAGGAAGAGGGGAGCCGGGACTGGAACACGGGAGCCTCCATCTGCAACGCGACCCTGGTCGTGATGCTATGCAGATGGCCAAGCACCGCCGGCGCCTTGGCATTCAAGCGCCGCATCAACCCGCAGAGCGGCCTCGCCGGGGCATGCTCGGCTTCTTTGGCAGAGGAGAGGACTAAAGGAAAAACCAGAAGTGGGCGGCGCCGCCCTTTCCCCCTGCTCCTCTCGTCTTCTTCTCCCCCCACGACCGTGGAACCAGAAGGGAGAGAGAGAGAGAGAGAGAGAGTGGCAGAACGTGTGGAAAAGGAAAACTATCGTGAGAGGAAGCCTTCCAGTGGACTATTTCACAAATACCCGGAACTTCTCATTATTTCTTTCGAGTCTCATCCGATCTTGCACCTCTTCAGCTCTTCACTGAGTAGACTCTGATCCATGGGCCTGGAGAACTAGCTGCTTCCCCTGTTCTGGCCCAAAAGTATAAAGGGCCCGGGTAGAAGAACAACGGGATACAAATGTTCGATTTTTTTAATAAAAACAGCCTCATAATGTAATTATCAGGAGTTTTAGATTTTAGATCATTTAAAAGATGTTTAAATCAGAAATTTGAGGACGATTCAAATTTTCCTTATTTTATTTTAAAAAATTATGATGAGACCCTTTTTTTTTTACTCTTTGAGTGTTGGAACACAAAATATTCAAAGTGTTTCGTTGAGGGTCTCCAATTACCGATTTTTTAACAAATTTTCTTGATGAGAAAACCTTTTCAGACCCCAAAAAGGTAAAGAAAACAAGAAAGTGTGAGTATCTTTGTTTCAGACTAATTCGAGTGATAAGGAAAATAGAGAGAGTATGATTTATTTTTTTCAGACTAATTCGAGTGAATTTTACGACTAGGACACTATGAATTATATAATTGCTCTTTGCATGCAGACTAGGACTCTATGAATGGGGTTCTCTCTCTATTCTTGACCCTTATTTGCTCTTTATATGTAGAGATGTAGCACTATGGGGTTTAATGGGGGCCTCTCTCTCTCTCTCTTCATGACGCAGATTTGCTCTTTACATGTAGAGATGTAGCACCATGGGGTTTAATGGGCTCTCTCTCTCTCTCTCTCTCTCTCTCTTCATGACACAGATTTGCTTGACCAGATGGTGAAGCAATTTGTAGCGCCACATGCACACCAACTATGGTCCTCAGAGCCCCTCTCCCATTAACGATCATATCAGATCTTTCAGATTCTAAGACCGCAGTTGATGATGCGTTTGATCGAACAATCTCTCTATCAGTTGTTGTTCCTGCACTTGTTTCTGGTATTGCGATGAGGGAATGCTCGTCCCATTCTAGCATTTAATGGGAGTCGTAAGGAATCCATGCGAGGGAATCGCCTCCACAGGATTATAAAAATGTGGGATAATCGCCGTAGTTCTTCGAGCGTCGGCCGGCCGAGGCGCCGACTGCGGCTTTGCCCAAAGCGCACCGCACCTGGGAAGGGCACATCAGGCTGCCCCCTTTCTACGGCCCTTTTTGAGCGATGCCATCTGATGATGCATGGAAAGCTACCGTGAAGGTTTCTCTCCCTTCTCTCTCTCTCTCTCTCTCTCTTCCGTCGACGGATTTCTTTCAATGAATTTAGGGACCCGTATGGTATATGCAAGCGACATGGAATCTGACGACGTTCTGGAATCTGTAACTCTCGGGAAAAGCTGGCGCTACGTTGCATGAACCAGGAGGAACTTGGGCCCCCTGAAGAGAACTACCTTCGTCGACGGAGTCGGTCGGCGTAGCTATCGATCATCCTTTCCCCCTTTAGTTTTCGTGTCCACTCAGAGCTAGCTGGCGTAGGTAGTATCATCCCTCCCTCCTATCCACCTTCTAAAGCTGCATGAGCGCGTCCATATTTCGTGAGGAATTTGAACTTCAATGAACTCTTTCTCCCTCTCCCCCTCTCTCTCTCTCTCTCTGTGTGGATGTCTTCTATCATCTGATAGTAGCTGACCTTTGGTATCAACCTCATCTTTCCCTCTTTGCTTCGTATGGTGCCAATCAAGATTAAGACTCTCTCCACTGGCCATCCGCCTTTCTTCGGCTATAAATCCGTCCCCCGTTTCTCGGGGAGGAGTTAGAATAAGTAGCAGCAGCAGCTCCGACGAGACGGGGAAGAGCTCCTTCGTGAGAACATGCAGAGCTCCGATTTCCCCTCAAAGAAGGGCGCTACCTTCGCTAGGACATGTTTCAATGGGATCAATGCCCTCTCAGGTCCCAACCCTCTAGATAGCCTCTCTCTCTCCCTCAAACAGCCCCCTCTCCAACAGGGGTGTTTTCTTTATCTTTCTCTCTCTCTTTCTCTCCCACTAACCCTTTTGAGATGGGAAGAAACAACAAAGCACACATGCTTCACGCCTCGTCATTAACATGGCGTCCTTCTCTCCGCGGTGGAGTGGGAGAGAGACAGACAGACAGACAGACAGACAGACAGACAGACAGACAGAGAGAGAGAGAGACAGAGAGAGAGACAGAGAGAGACAGAGAGAGACAGAGAGACAGAGAGAGACAGAGAGATGATAGTCGTCATTCGTCTACATTCGAATCCCGCTTCCTGAAAATAGACCTCCTCAAAACGCTCCTCTGAGAGCCGCTCTCATTCTTGCACCAGCAAGAAAACTCATCTCCCTTCTTCCGTCTGCAGGTGTCGGAATACTTTCAGTGCCATACGCCCTGGCCCACGGTGGGTGGCTTAGCCTGCTCCTGCTCCTGCTCGTCGCCGGCGTCTGCTACTACACAGGCCTCCTCCTCCGCCACTGCATGGACTCCAACGAGCTCATCAAGACCTACCCCGACATCGGCGAGCTCGCCTTCGGCCGCAAGGGCCGCATCGCCGTCTCCACCTTCATGTACCTCGAGCTCTACCTCGTCGCCATCGAGTTCCTCGTCATGGAAGGAGACAACCTCGAGAAGCTCTTCCCCGGCGCTGCCCTACACATCCCTGGCCTCCCCCCCATCGGCGGCAAAAGCTCCTTCATCCTCCTCGCGGCGGTGATCGTCCTCCCGACGACCTGGTCCAGGAACCTCGGCGCTCTCGCCTACGTCTCCTTCGGAGGCGTGCTCGCTTCCCTCGTCCTGCTCGCCTGCGTTCTCTGGTTGGGGGCCGTAGATGGCGTAGGATTCCACGAGCGGGGCGCGCTCTTCCGCTGGAGCGGCGTCCCCACCGCCGCCAGCTTGTTCGTCTTCTGCTACAGCGGCCACGCCGTCTTCCCCACCCTATACACATCCATGAAGGAACGGCTCAAGTTCTCCAAGGTGACCGACCGACATCCTCTGAAGGATTTCCCCCTTCCAGATTGTCTGATGCTCTCTCAGCTCACGTCGGAGTCCCCCATTGCAGGTGCTGCTGATCTCCTTCTTCCTCTGTACTCTCAGCTACGGGTCGATGGCCGTCTCCGGCTACCTGATGTACGGCTCCGGCGCCAAGTCTCAGATCACCCTCAACCTTCCGGCCCAGAAGCTGAGCTCGAAGCTGGCCATCTACACCACCGTCGTCAACCCGCTGACCAAGTACGCCCTCATGCTCTCGCCGGTGGCCGCCGCCATCGAGGACCACTTCCAGGCCTCCCGGTCGAGGTCCGTCAGCGTCCTTATCAGGACCCTGCTGGTGCTCAGCACGGCGTTAGCCGCCCTGACGCTGCCCTTCTTCGGCTACCTCATCGCCCTCACCGGCGCCATCCTCAGCACCACGGCGTCCGTCCTGCTTCCCTGTATGTGCTACCTCAAGATCTTCAAGGACGCCCAGCGGAGGAGCACAGAGTCAGCCCTCATCGGGGCGATTATGGCAGCGGGGACCTCCATCGCCGTCGTGGGCACATACTGCGCCGCCAGGCAGATCGTTACCAGCCTGTGATCCGCTAGAAGCAGCCTGGAGGCACGCAGATTCGACTATCCTGCATATATTATTTTCCAAAATTACCGGGGCAATTGCTCCCTGGTAGTATTTCACAGTCGTCGCAATATGATGCGGGTGGCCTACCAAGCCATACATGTCGGAATGCTTGGGATAATGACGAGGGCCAATTATCCCCTTTCACTACAGAATGTGATGGATCTTGCAGGCCCAAAAACTTGTGGACTTTGAGCAGCCATGGGCCATTACACTAAAAGACGTCCCAAAGTTTGTGCTAGCTAGCCTGTGTCGTCCTCAGTAACATGAAGCATCCTTCTTGCTGTAAAATCATTCTTCTTGTTTGAAGGGTTGGGTGTTCCTTTAATGTAGGATTCTACTTATGTGGGGAGGCTTGCCTACTCAACACAATGGAATAAACATCACATTAAAGCATAAACATTTCGATTTTTTATGATTTTTTTCAGATTTTTTTTTTTTTAAGGCTTAAATTTGGACCCCTGAAGTGATAAGAAATAGACCAATCTCGAACTATAGAGCAATTTCCAACTAATGCAAACATACCTCAATATGCAAAATATATAAAAGTCACTTCAGCCCATATTATAAAACTAGGAAAATAAATGACTAGATTGAGTCAAAACACCAATATGTTGATGCCCTTAGTTTTGATACATAAAGTGAAAAATTCTTTACAAAATATTTATGAAATATTTACTATATAATAAATGTATTTTATTATGTTAGAACTCTAATACATTCAAGAAATGTTCAAAGTGTTTATTAATGATGCATGAATAATCCTATGACTAATAAACTAATTCAAGAAATTATATCCTTGGAATATTGTTCAGTTGAATTCGATGTATCACTATATGGTTCATATATAAGTACAAACAATTAGGTGTCAACACATGTGATGAAATCTTTGAAAAATTACGAAATACGAAGTCACCAACATGATTCAAACTTAGAATTTGAGCAGTGAGAAGTTGGAAGTTTCAATGAGAAAGATATTTAGAAAATCAATGAACATGAGTGGCAAGAAATTAGAAGTCTCAACATGAAAAACACTTGAAAAATTAAATAATATAAATTTAGGTGCAAGATTCAAACTGAGGACTTAAGTGATAGGAAACAAAAAAAATTAACAAATGCTTGAAAATCATAGAAAAAAAAATTCATTACCTGATTCATAACCGAAACCTAAGTGACGACACATTAGGAAGTTGTGTGAAGAAATACGAAGAAATATTAGAGTATCAATGTCTCAAGTAAGATTTCAACTTGAGACTAATACAATGATAAACTTAAAACATCCATGAGAAGCCATTAAAAAGTCATGAAAGGGGAGAAGCTTTTGTCATATATCTTAGATAGTGACATGTCAATAGAACAAATGGAGAAATGATAGGCTAAATGAAATTATTTAGACTCGATCCCAAAAGTAAAGATGAACATTGTTAACTTAAAAATCTTTACATGAAGTTTCGAGTATTGTCAATATGAGAACAATGAGCTTCAAAAAAACGAATGAACACAGATTCTAGATAATATCATGTTAATAGAATATATGGAGATAATGACAAGTTCAATGACCTTATTTGAGCTCAACCTCAAAAGCAAAGAGAATCATTGATGAATCAGAAATTTGTATACCAAGCTTCAAATATATTTGATGTGAGAATAACACTCCTCAAAGTGAGGAATAAGAAAAGACCAATGCCACACAGTCTAGATGGAAATGTACTGGCAAAATATATTAAAAATCTCTAGACAAAGTCTCAAGGATAAGGAATGTGAGAATAACAAACTTTTGAACAAAAGAACAAGCAAAGGTTATTGAAGTGTTGATGGAGGAACATGAAGAAACTTTAATTTGCATGACCATTTCTAAGGTGATGAAAAGACATGAGTTGGAGAATAAAACGAAGGAGCTTATGAAGAAGAAGACTTAATATGGAGCAAAGATATTTATACTAAAATCATTAACATTCTGAAGAATGTTCTTCTCAATCTATCAAAGTCAAGTTACTATGTGTTTCAAAGAAGAGTTGAAAGTTGTATCAAATATCTTATTCTATTGTGGTGATTCAAGCCAACTCTCACTTCAAATGTTGACTTTCTCTTTTGAGCCCTAAGAACATTGTTTGCATGTGAAGGGTGTGATTTCTATACAGCTTGGTTTTATGTAATTGGGACACTCAGTTTGTGAAGTCAATATTTATTTTCAAGGGGAAATAGTGAACTTTGGTAAGAAGGATCCATCAATATTGGACATAGCCTAGAGAGAGGTGAACTAATATAAAAACTGTCTTTAGTAGTGATGAGAGAGTCTAGAGAGTTGAGCGAGAACCTATGTAGAGAGAGAGAGAGAGAGAGACCGCCATGAATAAACATGTACACAAAACAAATATGTTTTGTGAGAACCTATGTTAACACATACACTTGTAAATAGAAGAAAAGAATAAAACATAAATCACAAGACATTAATTCACAACCCCTCCTTGTGTTTTACTTAACATCATTGAACCCTTCACTATCTACATCTTACAGTGTTTATGTAAAAAACCATCATTTGAGCACTATAAAGAAACACAATCTAGTTGATACTGAAGCCATGCAAGGGAAACTAGAAAAGGAGAGAAAAAAAATGTCCCCAAAATCAAAATTTTCTCCAAGAGATACCCCTTGATCCACCACTAACTCACCACAAATGACTTGGCTCAAATGATGTGAATAAAAGTTTTCCTCCAGTGATTGACATGAGGAGAGCATGATTTGAATTTAGCAGTTCCCATTGAAGTATGTTTCCGTCTATAATATAGGGTGGTTGTTGTTCATTACTATTGGTAAGATTTTTACTAATTCCTTGAATTTATAGCCCCTATACTAATTATTGTTTGTTGAAGACATCATGGTCGACCTAGAATATCATTTGAATCATGCTCGTAGTTGAATCGTTTATTCCTAGTTCAATTGATTTGCTGAGTTTGAACATTTCCTAAACTTTTTCATCCTAATGAATTTCCATTTATCTAATTTTCAATGTGAGATAGTTGTCTAATGCTGAAGACTTATGCATGGATAGGTATGTAGAATTTGAACCCTAGTCTAGTAATTAAGAATGGGTAAAAGTTGGGGAGTCAATGGGTCAACAAACTTTGTGGTCTAATTCATTTGGCTATTCCAGCCTCCACCACTCTTTCTCTTTGTAATCATCTCTTAGTTGTTGTATTAAGAGATGTCAAATATAATATTTATAAAACTAGATTCACATTAAGATAAATTAATTAATTGTGGTGAGTTCAGGCCGAATCCACATGGAAGATAACAAATATGATGATGATTTCCTTTATGCTCCCTAAGTAAACCTAATTAAATAAAAAATTAAAGAAACAAAGTAGTAGAAGAGATTTTCTATACTTGATCAGATGTGACCAGATCCAATTCTCCCTTGCCAATGCCCACTCAATATCTAATAATTTCTGGCTTGGATGTACATAAAAGCTTTGTTTATGGACAATGAGTAGGGGAGAAGAGAGAGAGGACAAAGAGAGAGAGAGAGAGAGAGAGAGAGAGAGAGAGAGAGAGAGAGAGAGAGAGAGAGAGAGAGAGAGAGAGAGAGAGAGAGAGAGATGGCTCCACTAGCGATAGAACTTGCTAGTGGAGAAACGAACGATGTGTTTAGGAAACACAAAGGTATTGAAATGGGAAAATAGGAAGGCTAAGGGTCGAAAATAGTTTTATAACTGATTTAGAAAATGAATAAATTGATAAAAAAATATAAGTAGATTAAAAGTAAAAATCTCCATTTGACACTAGGGATGAGCTAGATGAACAAATTAAAAATATATAAAAAATCAATCAACTTCTAATGTATAATTCAATTTTTAAATAAAAAGGAAACTAATATAAACTCAAAAGTGTAAAGAGTCAGACATAAAATGGATTGGAAATCAGAATTTTGTCCCTTTGACACTAGGGACAGCCATTGAACAAATTTGAGTGAAATCATGAATAAAGTTCTAGAAATCAATCATTTCCTCAATTCATCTACTTAGCACCAGAATAAATCAAGAAAATGAATTCGAAATGAAGTAAAAATCATTATTTTTTTTTCAAAATGGCATGAGAATCGAGGAAGAACTAGAAGAACACCATTGGTTATCATCCATTGGTTAAGAATAAAATTGCTTCAAAATCAGTTGATTATCAATGTGAATTGGCCTTCATTTCTCCATCTATTTCTCCCAATTTATGCCCATTTCTGTCTCCTCGATATTTTTAATTTAATTAAATAAAGCGACCTAATGGGGGGCATAATAAGTTTCCTTAAAGGGCTTAGGATACTGCTAGAAATCAACACAGTTAAATAATTTTCTGAAAAATTACCAAAAATTAAGAAAAATTATTTGTGGTTAACAAAATGAACTCCAACTATTTAATTCCGATTTTAACACATTATGATAGATTTATGAGAAAATATTTCAAGTAAAGCATATTAATGTATAATCATGAAATATTGAAAATATAAATATGTTATACAAACTATTTAAAAATTCTATATTAAGCATGTATTTCATGTAATTAATATTAAATATGGTTTACTTGATGTCACATTAAATTTGTGTCATTTAGTATGAATTAGTGCGTAAAATATAATAATAATGTGTTACTTATCTCATAAAAATGACGTGTTATTAGTCTTGTGAACTTTAATGAATCATTGGCCTATTTTACTGAAAGAGAGCACAAAGTTTGTTAATGGGCCCATTCAAGGAGTGGCTAGTCCACTTGTGAGAACCTTTGTCATGCTCAATAACATGAAGTAAACTTTCTCTTGCAAAATCACTCTTTTTGTTTAAAGGTTTGCCTATTCCTTTGATATAGGATTTTACTTAAGGGGGGAAGTTTGCCTAGTCAACATGATGTAATAAACATCACATCAAAATTCAAAGATTTCAATTTTTAATAAATTATATGAGATAAATAATTATTTT